CACATTGGGGATTAAATTTCCACATGAGTTTTGGAGGGGACAACACATCCAAACTCCATTAAAAGGTATTGATACATACAACAAGTTCTTTTTGTAGTGGGTCATCCCAATTCGTATTCTCAGCTACAGTAAATAATAACCATCTACTGCTTCATTAACTGTNTCCTAGATTATTAAATTTTGTCATATTTGTTGCTAATATTCCCATTTGCTGCTTGGCTTTTTTCTTTTTCTTTCTTTCTTTTTTTTAATTTGTCTTTTTCCGTGTCCGGCAACGGATCGCAACCCTCAGTGTTGCCCCCGGACCGGACCGGGGACCGGCAACGGGATCGCAACCCTCGGTGTTGCTCCCGCGCCTCGCTCAGCCAGTGAGCGGGAACCGGTCTGTATGTGGGATCCGAACCCTCGGGTGGGAGCGCCGCCGCGCTTCCCAAGTGGCGCACTTATCCAGTGCGCCACCGGGCCGGCCCGCTGCTTGGCTTTTAAACTATAGTTGTTCTAATATTACGTTTTTGAATAAAATCTATTAGTGTCCTTCTTTGTAATTCCTTTCATTATTTTTTACGTTTTAAAGTCTGCTTAAGAGACCTGATAAAAAGAAAAACTTGCGTTAACTTCTACATGTTTACAATTTGACTTTTACTTAAATTTATACTTTAATTCACCTGGGATTTATTTTGATAAAGGGGTTTATGTGAATATCTAAAATTTCCCCAAATGACAAGTTGGTTATATCTCTTAAATAATTATCTCTTAAATAATTATTCCTTTCTCTACTGACACACGATGTCTCTGTATTATATATTAAATTATTATATATACTACACACTGTTTCTAAGCTTTCTATTTTTATCCATTGAAATCTAGTCATCTATTTTAATTCTTAGGACCACAGTGCCTTAATTATTATAGTTATATAATATAATTTGATGGCTCATAGAGGTATTGCTTCTCATTATGATTCATTGTGAAAATTACATTAGGAATTAATCTTTCCATTAAATGCAATAATTATTTTTTTCAAGTCCCTTTGCCCCTGTAGCTGAAAAATTACTTGTTATTTTTACTGGCATTGTAAAATCAAGCAAATTCACGTATTTAGTAGCTTTACAATATTTGTTCTTCTGAGATGTCTCTCCATTTATTCACTCAGTAAAATTTTATATCTGTCAGTGAGATTTTGTGGTTTTCTTCAATGAATTTGACACTGATCTTGTTAAGGTTATTCCTTGGTATTTTGTGTTCTTGGATGCTATTGTAGAGAGGTTCTTTTGATAGAATAAGGGTAGAACATTTGATATAGTAAATAACAATTTTTCTACACTTGATCTAAGCCAAAAGGTTGAGAAGCGATAATTTTTCTTATAAAAACTATAAAAAATTTTTATGTATTTTTTTATTTTTTCTTATAAAAAATCAGAAAACCACTGATTTTTATATTCACGTTTGATGAATCACTTACTGTTATTAATTCTAATAGTTTTTCAGTTGATTCTTTTATGTTTTCTAGGTAGACAGTCATTTCATCTTTGAATAATAATTTTGTCTCTTCTTAAATTCTCAAACCTCTAATTTCTGGGGTTTTTTGTCTTTGAATTAGCAAGCACTTCTAGAGCATTCATAAAAACATCTGGTGATAGTGGCTTTCTAGGTTAGCTCCTGATTTTATT